TCCCTTTACAGTGGGGCAAAAAAGTATTTAGTCAGCCACCGATTGTGCAAGTTCTCCCACTTAAAATGATGACAGAGGTCAGTAATTGACATCATAGGTACACTTCAACTGTGAGAGACAGAATGTAAAAAAAAAATCCATGAATTCACATGGCAGGATTTTTAAAGAATTTATTTGTAAATCAGGGTGGAAAATAAGTATTTGGTCAATAACAAAAATTCAACTCAATACTTTGTAACATAACCTTTGTTGGCAATAACAGAGGTCAAACGATTACTATAGGTCTTTACCAGGTTTGCACACACAGTAGCTGGTATTTTGGCCCATTCCTCCATGCAGATCTTCTCGAGAGCAGTGATGTTTTGGGGCTGTCGCCGAGCAACACGGACTTTCAACTCCCTCCACAGATTTTCTATGGGGTTGAGGTCTGGAGACTGGCTAGGCCACTCCAGGACTTTCTAATGCTTCTTATGGAGCCACTCCTTTGTTGCCCGAGTGGTGTGTTTGGGATCATTGTCGTGTTGGAAGACCCAGCCACGTTTCATCTTCAAAGCTCTCACTGATGGAAGGAGGTTTTGGCTCAGAATCTCACGATACATGGCTCCATTCATTCTGTCCTTAACACGGATCAGTCGTCCTGTCCCCTTAGCAGAAAAACAGCCCCAAAGCATGATGTTCCCACCCCCATGCTTCACAGTAAGTATGGTGTTCTTGGGATGCAACTCAGTATTCTTCTTCCTCCAACCACGACGAGTTGAGTTTATACCAAAAAGTTCTACTTTGGTTTCATCTGACCACATGACATTCTCCCAATCCTCTGCTGTATCATCCATGTGCTCTCTGGCAAACTTCAGACGGGCCTGGACATGCACTGGCTTCAGCAGCGGAACACGTCCGGCGCTGCAGCATTTGATTCCCTGCCGTTGTAGTGTGTTACTGATGGTGACCTTTGTTACTGTGGTCCCAGCTCTCTGCAGGTCATTCACCAGGTCCCCCCGTGTGGTTCTGGGATTCTTGCTCATCGTTCTCATGATCATATTGACCCCACGGGATGAGATCTTGCGTGGAGCCCCAGATCGAGGGAGATTATCAGTGGTCTTGTATGTCTTCCATTTTCTGATAATTGCTCCCACAGTTGATTTTTTCATACCAAGCTGCTTGCCTATTGTAGATTCACTCTTCCCAGTCTGGTGCAGGTCTACAATTCTTTTCCTGGTGTCTTTCGAAAGCTCTTTGGTCTTGGCCATAGTGGAGTTTGTAGTCTGACTGTTTGAGACTGTGGACAGGTGTCTTTTATACAGATAATGAGTTCAAACAGGTGCCATTAATACAGGTAACGAGTGGAGGACAGAAAAGCTTCTTAAAGAAGACGTTACAGGTCTGTGAGAGCCAGAGATTTTCCTTGTTTGAAGTGACCAAATACTTATTTTCCACCCTGATTTACAAATAAATTCTTTAAAAATCCTGCCATGTGAATTCATGGATTTCTTTTCACAGATTTCTGTCTCTCACAGTTGAAGTGTACCTATGATGTAAATTACTGACCTCTGTCATCATTTTAAGTGGGAGAACTTGCACAATCGGTTGCTGACTAAATACTTTTTTGCCCCACTGTATTTAAAAAGGGGGACCGCAGGGTGTGTTCCAACTACAGGGGGATCACACTCCTGAGCCTTCCTGGTAAGGTCTATTCAGGGGTTCTGGAGAGGAGGGTCTGTCAGATTGTTGAAACTCAGATTCAGGAGGAGCAATGTGGTTTTCGTCCTGGCCGTAGAACACTGGACCAGCTCTATACCCTTAGGAGGATCCTGGAGGGTGCGTGGGAATTTGCCCAACTAGTCTACATGTGTTTTGTGGATTTGGAGAAGGTATTTGACCGCGTCCCTCAGGGGGCCCTGTGGGGGGTACTCCAGGAGTATGGGTACCAAGCCCTCTGGTATGGGCTGTTAGGTCCCTGTATGGCCAGTGTCAGAGCTTGGTCTGCATTGCCGGCAGTAAGTCGGGCTCGTTCCCAGTGAGAGTTGGACTCCGTCAAGGCTGCCCTTTGTCACAGATTCTGTTCATAACCTTTATGGACAGGATTTTTATGCACAGCCAAGGTGTGGAGGGCATCCGTTTTGGTGGCCTGAGGATCAGGCTCTGTTTTTTGCAGATGATGTGGTCCTGTTGGCTTCATCAGAATGTGATCTTCAGCTTTCGCTGGAGGGGTTCACAGTCGAATGTGAAGCAGCTGGGATGAGAATCAGCTCCTCTAAATCTGAGACCATGGTCTTGATTCGGAAAAGGGTAGAATGCCTTCTCCGGGTCAGGGATGAGGTCCTGCCCCAAGTGGAGGAGTTAAAGTATCTTGGGGTCTTGTTCAAGAGTGAGGGAAAACTGAAGTGTGAGATTGATAGGCGGATTGGTGCTGCATCTGCAGTGATGTGGGTAATGTACCGGTCTGTCTTGGTGGAGAGAGAGCTGAGCTGGAAGGCGAAGCTCTCAATTTACCGGTCGATCTACGTTCCTACCCTCACCTATTGTCATGAGCTTTGGGCAGGGACCGAAAGAACAAGATCGTGGATACAAGCGGCCAAAATGAGTTTTCTCCGCAGAGTGGTTGGATTCTCCCTTGGAGATAGGGTGAGAAGCTCGGTCATTCGGGAGGGGCTCGGAGTAGACCTGCTACTCTTCCACATCGAGAGGAGCCAGTTGCGGTGGCTCGGGCATCTGGTCAGGATGCCTCCTGGACGCCTCCCTGGTGAAATTTTCCGGGCACGTCCAACCGGGAGGAGATCTAAAGGTAGACCCAGGACACGGTGGAGGGACTACGTCCCTCACCTGGCCAGGGAACGCCTTGGGATTCCCCCGTAGGAGCTGGCCCAACTGACTGGGCAGAGGGAAGTCTGGGCCTCTCGACTTAGGCTACTGCCCCCGCGACCTGACTCCGGATAAGCGGATGAAAATGGATGGATGGATGGATGGACAGACGGACAGAAGGATGATTCTCATCCCAGCTGCTTCATGCTCGGCTGGGAACAGCTGCAGCAATAGTTTGAAATCACAATCTTATGAAGCCAACAGGACATCATCCGCAAAAGCAGAGACCTGATCCTCAGGACACCAAAACAGATCCCTATAACACCTTCGTTGCACCTAGAAATCCTGTCCACAGAAGTCATGAACAGAATTGTGACAAAGGGCAGTGTTGGTGGAGTCCAACTATCACCGGGAACAAACCCGACTTACTGCCGGCAATGCGGACCAAGCAATGGAACTGGTCATATACGGACCTAACAGCCCCTATAGGCCTGATAAATCCAAATGAATGCCAAATTAAACATCCATCTAGTGGTACTACACACTAACGGAATGAACAAGTTGCGCTTCACAGGAAATATTTCTCATTTTACTACAGTGTCTTACTGTCCTGTGTGTTCTACAACTTCACTAGATTTGATTATGTCTATTGCCTGAGCAAATTGGAAAGTTTGAAGTACATGTGTTTCTGAGTTTAGTGCATGATACTGCAGAGCTCGATAACAAACAAGTCACAAAGTCTTGGTCAAAGCAGAAAGCTGTGGCACAGACGGTGACAAAGATTTGATAATCTGACAAGTAAGACACAAATGAACAGTAGAAAAAAACAAAACAGCTCAGCTTGAGAACAGACCAGTAAGCAGACACACACAAGCCATTTAAGAAGGATCTTGAAAATCTGCAGTTATTTGTCATTCAAATTACACAATAACTCCTTAAAGCAGGCAAAGGTAATAAATTCCTTACCTCACAATGAAAATCACAGGTGCATTTTTATACAGTGATATGTTACAAAATGTTGATGTAACAGTGATGAAAAAGCATCTAAAAATGTTTTTGATGCTTTTTTGTTGCCAAATTTACAAAAGCACTTTGTTCCTACCTGTTAGATTAAATAATTTTGTTTATTTACGTTTGTTGATCCTCAGAGAAAGAATTTCCTTTGCAATTTGGCCAATAACACACTTGGGAGTAGAGGATAGTTAAAAAATCCCAGGGCTCTCATGCATATTATTTTAAGAAATAATTCATAAACCCAAAGAGAATTAGAAAAATAAATTCACATTTCAAGATTTTTGTGTAGTATGTTGATGACATAATAAATAACCAAATCCTTATGCATAAAAAAAGAATCAAAGGTCTCTTACAAGGATATTGGTTTAGAGCACCACAATATTCTGTTGTGTTCAATTAAACCTTGATTGTTAGCAAAAGCGAAACTTATCTCCTCGCTGTGCCTTTTAACACCTTAATGTCTCCTCAGTCTTCATTAGTGTCGACGGGAGTGATTCATCACTAAATTAAACAAATCAGTTGTGTTCATGATCTAAAACATGCAGGAAATGTGCTGCAAGCACACTGCAGTGCCAGCCATTTCAGCTCCGCTTTTTTATGTCCAACAGGGACCAGACCGCCACTCTCAAGTTGCAAGTGCAATATTCTGACAACAGAGGGCCATTTTAGCACATACTGACTCAAAAAATGATTTAAAAATATAACAAACTTGCATAGAATCCCTTTAAATAGAAAAAGAAACATTTTAATACAGTGCCTCTCAGTATAACAATCACAAAGCGCTTCACAAGAACAATAAAAAAAAAGATTTAAAAAGATCATAATAAAAATGGGTGAAAAGGGAAAATTTAAGGTAAAAAATGTGAATATAAAAGCAAGGGACCAAAAAAAAGGGCATAATTGATGGAAACAGGACAGAAAAAAAGGCTAAAATTTATGATAAATAACCTCTTGTGGAAAAACAAGGCTCATCCCTTCCAGTACTAAAAACAAAACAGTAAAAATGGTGGTGCACTGTACGAAAAAACAAAAAACAAAAAAAACAAGGATAGTTGAGAACACTCTCCGGGAGATTTACAAAAATTGTTGTGTGAAAGCATTTACTACAGAGATGTTTAAAGATTGTTTTTTCCTTTCTTTTATGTAGGCCGGGCTTTGTTAAGAAATGATAATAAAAGTGTGCTCACAGAAGAGGATGGTGCCTTGTGTCGATGTCGTTTTTACTCGCAAATGGAGAGTGGTGTCAGCTGTTGAGGGCCGGTTGTCGGCATCACCGGGAGGCTGTCGAAGGGACGTAAGAGGCTGCAGCTCCAAGAAGGATGTGCCATCGAAGGAGGGGATATACACTCTGGCATCTAGAAACAATCAGAAAAACAGCATTCGCTGTTTGGTCATTTCGTTTAACAGAGAAAAACATTTCTAATTGTTTTTGGTTTTGTTCTCATTGAGATCAAAGAAAATCGGTGTTGTTAAACTCCTTTCTAATGTTGACTTTGTCTAAATACTAGTGTTTAGTGTGAACACTTTTAGATAAAAAAATTAACACAATCTAAATGTAGAAGTTCCTTAAAATAATTTACAGCAGAGCTGTTGAACGGGATCGTATTGGATGTCACAGGTGTTCCCAGTAAAGCGGTCTCCATGTTATTGTCTGAAAGGAGAATGGCATTTCTAGAAAAAGCAATGCCCTTAAGTGCTTTTCTTGGTAAAGAGAACAGCAGAAATTGGCTGGTGCAGCACAGATATCTGGTCTGTGAGCAGAGTCAGCAGGGCCGTGTCAGGGCTGTGTGCTAGTGTGTCATTTCCCACTGGATGACAAAGAGCTATGACTTTAAGGAAAGGTGGAGGAGGTACAAGCACAGGTCATCAACTCCACAAGCCACTGATAATCTGTTAGCCTTTTACACAAAGGACATTGCACACCACACGCCTTACTGTTCAGGTCCATGAAAGTAAATTCAAAACAGGACGCATCAGCTGCTGGTGAAGGGACTTCTACCTGGACTCAAACTGTTGATGGGAGTTTAGAAAACTTCTAGAAACTTGCTCAAGGCTTGTGTAACAGAACGTCTCACAGGAACTTTTAAACGCCAGAAAAAAAAATCATTCAACAAGTTTCCTGAAAACAGTCATGAGCAGCTGAAACTTCTCTCTGTGACTCCAAACATGTTAAACAACTTTAAAGTGAGTGTGCACTAATTTTTAAAGCTCTGGTGCTCCTTTTTCAGAAAGTAGAAATTAGCAGAAAGAGTGGGGAGAAGAAACAGCAGGTTTTGGGTTTTGCTCATTAATATTCATGATATGTAAATGCCTCAGATCTGATTGGCTAACAGCAACATAAATAACCTTTTAGTGATCCCAAGGTCGAGGTTGGTGTGCAGAGACTGAACTTTGATGTGGTGTCTCTTAAATTTTGGAACTGTCTTCCCCTCTATGCTAGGCCGGCTACCTCAGTTTCTGTGTTATATAACTGTTTGTATTTTTGTTAATGTTATTTTGTGCAGCGCTTTGGTCAGCACAAGTTGTGTAAATGCGCTACATAAATTTGCTGCTTTCGTTGTGTTTAGCCATGTTGTGGAGTTGCTAATGATAATGATTAGCTAGGCGAGGCCCACTTTGCTCTCCCATGGCTGCATAATCAACAGTCTCACGCGGTTGCGAAGCAAGGTGGCCGAGTCCATTATTGCTGATTCTACAGTGTGACATAGATCTGTGTAACTTTTTCTAACCAGAGAGTTCCTATTTTCTTTTGGTGGCTAATGCAGGCGATGGGTGTTGAAGACTATTTTCACATTCAGCAAAAAGTGAAACTCAAAGTCTGTACATCTTGGTTTGGTATTTCAAAAAGAACAAGTATTATGTTTGTCAGTGAACCTCCACTTTTGCAAAAAAATGGAATGCAATAAAAAGTAAGGTAAACTACAAACAAAAGAAGAATTAACTCATTCACTGCCAATGACAACTAAAGTCGTCATTTGCATTTTTTTTACTGTTAGGGCATCGGAACAAGCCTGGCAGTGAAGGGCTTAACCGATCAGGAAACGGCTGGCAGTGAATAAGTTAAGTCGTAGTATAGAGTGTGAGGAAGTAACAATATTTCCACATAATCTAGTCCTCTCGGACCACTTTTTGATAACCTTTGAGTTTTTTATAACGGAGTTCTCGAGACATGAAAGTAAATTTCACTATAGCCGGTCTCTGTCTGACAACGCTGTTGCATCTTTTAAATAAACTGCTTCATCTTTACTATCTTCAGCATCTCAGAGGAACGTAGAAGAGGACAATATTTTTATTTCTAGCCCTTCACAAATGGATGATTTAGTTCAGCGGTTCCCAAACTTATTTAGCCGCGCACCCTATGCCTATGCCCCGACCATGTCAACGCACCCCCCAGCCCCCGCATCAGGGCATGGCTATATATATATATATATATATATATATATATATATATATATATATATATATATATATATATATATATATATATATATATATATATATATACACACATATATATATGCCCAGGTAGCACATAAACAATGCAATTTAACGGTTTTCTTAAAGTAGGAACGTTTAACCTGTGCGGCCAGAGCTCTTTCCTTCCTTCTGCTCTGCGTAAACCTGAGCTGGTCACCTACTTGTGCATAGTCAAATGTCTACAGGGGAAAAGATGGAAAAGCTATAGCCATGAGGTTCACTTTTTCCTCGGACCGACTTATTGCTGTTTATGGTGTGCCTGAATCTGCGATCCGCTGCCACGCAGACTGGAATAACAAATGCTGCAGTAACATGAGTTGTGGTCATGTTCATGAGGAGTCACTGGCTCGATTTTAATACGTCATCCCAAAATAGACGCCAATATCTTAATTTGACCTTGAATGAAAAATGTTATTATAAAACCTCTTAAAAGTTTTTTATCATGGAGGAGGCAGCGCTCATTTCTGCCTTCAGTCTGACGGTGCGGCGCAGCGCAACGCTGCGCAGCGTGTGCTTATTGAATCTGTGTGTGTGTGTGGCACAGCTCCATGAGCCGCTCCAGTCACCGCGTCTCGTTATTGGCGCTATTCATACCAATGTTGTAAAATTACTTCTGCCCAGCCCAGATATGCTCACTTGTGCACCCTTGAGCCGTGGTTCCGCTGGAACGCGTCTGACCTCTGACAGACGCACTCTGAACTTCAGATCTTCAGCGCACTGCTAATAGCCTGACACGTTTAGAATGCTGTCCAACAGTCAGTGTGCTAATATAATAATATAATAATGCTAAAATGCTCAGATGGGAGTCATTTCTTGATTTATTTAGTTACATCCACAATGTTCTGTGTGTGAGGTTTACAATGTCAGAACACCTGCATGAGACAGGTGTAAATTACAATCTACCAGAATGACTCACCACCTTCAGATTCCTCCAACACCGATAAAAATGATCAAATACTGAACATATCTTGCTATTAACAGCGTGCACAGGCCAGAGTGCTGAAGCTCGGAGCGCATTATTATGAAGCCAGGGGACATGCGGAGGACACACACACAGACAAGAAAAATATACTTGTTTTCAATTGCATTTATTGGGCCCACTTACTTTTTCTTAGGCCCACCCACAAATGAGTTTCTGGCTACGCTAATGGTGACATATGTCAGACTTCTCTGAGCTCCGCAGCCATTACACTTTTCACCTCGCGCACCCCCTAGCGGCAGCTCCACACTTAGGGAATCCCTGATTTAGTTCATAATGTTACTTCTTTTTTACGTGTGGCATTAGAAGACGTTGCCCCTTTAAAAAAGAAGGAAATTAAGCACAGGAAGTTGGCTCCCCGGTTTAATTCTCATTTACGAACTTTAAAACCATACTCTAAAAAATTGGAAAGAACATGGCTTTCTACACACCAGGAGGAGTCCTACTTATCCAGGAAAAATAGTCTTGAGCTTAATAAAAATAAGCTTCGGCAAGCTAGAACTGCTTATTTTTCCATCGCTAACTGAGGAGCATAAGAATTATTCTAAATTTCTTTTCAGTACAGTTGCCAAACTTACACAGAATCATAGCTCTGAACCATCTATTCTCTTAGCCCTCAGCAGCAACGACTTTATGGGATTTTTCACGAGTAAAATTAATTCTATTAGAAACAAAATTATTAGCATCCTCCCTAATGTGATTTCTTATTTCTCAGTAAGTGAGGCAGCATCTGAGGTAACTGTAGAACCTCATCTGTGTTTGAACTGTTTTGATCCACTTGAGCTTTCAGAGTTATGAAAAATATTAGCTTCATCTAAACCTTCAACTTGCATTTTAGATCCAATCCCAACCAAATTATTTAAAGATGCACTTCCTTTGGTTACTGTCCCCATTCTAGATATAATCAATCTATCCTTAGTAAATGGATATGTACCACAGGATTTTAAAGTTGCTGTAATCAAACCTTTACTTAAGAAGCCTCCTCTGGATCCCAATGACCCAATGAATTATAGACTAATATCTAACCTTCCATTTTTATCTTAAGTCCTTGAGAAAATAGTGGTCATCCAAGTATGTGAGCATTTAAACACTAATGATCTGTTTGAGGAATTTCAGTCTGGTGTTAGAGAGCATCACAGCACTGAAACTGCAGTAGTGAAAGTTACAAATGATATTCTCATGGCCTCAGATAAGAATCTTGTGTCTGTTCTAGTCTTGTTAGATCTCAGTGCTGCCTTTGACACAGTTGATCACAATGTTCGTTTAGAAAGGCTTGAACATGTTGTAGGGATCAAAGGAACAGTGCTAGGCTGGTTTAAACCCTATCTGTCTGATAGATTTCATTTTGTAAATGTACATGACAAGTCTTCTTCATACTCCAGGTTACTTGTGGAGTACCACAGGGTTCAGTGCTTGGACCAATTATTTTTATATATATATATATATATATATATATATATATATATATATATATATATATATATATATATATATATATATATATATATATATATATATATATATATATATATATATATATATATATATATATATATATGCTTCCACTTGGTAAAATCATTACACAGCATGGGATAAACTTCCACTGCTAAGCTGACAATACTCAGTTATATCCATCGACATACTTATATGGACAATGGGTTTCCATAGACTCCAATAACACATTTTGGAAGAGAAATGGGAGGTGGCCACCACTGCCATTTTGACCGTGTCACAGGTTCTGTCAAGCCCAGACAATTCCACAAAAGGGAAGAGAGGTGGAGCTGAGGGTGGGGCTGTAAGGCTGGGATCAACTGACGACACACGGTCGAACTAGCTACAAGCTAACCTGAAGCTAACCCAAAGCTAACACGGAGGTGGGAGCTTAGCTAACAGAGGCAG